ACGAGGTTTTAACGATTTATCCTTAACAAAAACCACATTCTACTTTAATAAAGCAATTATACAAACGCCTCCTGCGGTATACATTCCGTAATCACATTTTTCTACAGTGCGAGGAACCGGTTTGTCAGAGCGGCGGCATGTCTCGGGTCCTTCGACATGAATGCACCGCCAGCTCGACAAACCAAGGCAATATCACAAAGACTAGAAACGCGTTCAACACTTCCCCACATGGAATGAGATCATAGTGGACGGGCGCACCATCGTCAGGAAGCCTCGCGTCGCACAGCAAATATCACGTCGACCGCTTCGGCCACTTCGGACGACTGTCCTGCACAGTCGGGACGTCACACCGGCAGTGCGCTCTTCTTTGACTAGCCAGCTCCGGAGGTGGTGCAGGGGCCATCCGAAAAGTGGGCGCTGGTCAGTAGCTGTGCGGCGGCGGGGCGTGGGGGCCGTGCCCCCGGGGGGGCTCCATGGGGGGCCCGCCCAGGGAGGCGGGGGCGGTCCGCCGCCCCCACGGGAAGGGGGCCGCGGGGGTCGATGGGGGCGGCGGAGCCCCATGTCAGACGGCCCTGAGCGTGGGCGCGAACCTGAAGAGCGGGGGGAAGTGGGCGCCCATGGCGCCCATGGCGCCCATGGCTCCCATGGTGCCCATGTGCAGCCCGGCCATGAGCTCCGGGGGCGGCGACGGGTGGGGGCCGTGGCCGGCGGGCGGCGGCGGCAGGAAGCCGTGGAGGAACGTGTGCGACTGGAACTGGAAGAAGCTCGAGGCGTAGCAGGGCGCTGGGGCTGGCAGGTGCAGCGGCTGGGGGCTCGGCGACGGCACCGGACTCGACGCCGGGCTAACCACCTCCACGTCCTCCGCCTCCGCGTCCTCGACGCGGTTGTCGTCCCGGTCGGGCCCGATGAGGCTCTCGATGGTGAAGGAGCGCTTGGGCCTCGCCGAGATGGGCGGCAACCTCGTCATCATCATGGGTGGCGTCGTCGAGGTGACGGACGACGGCGTCAGCGGCGCCATGCTCATGGGGGGCGTCGTCGGCGAGGGCAGGGCCGCCATCTGCGGCGACCGGGGCACGTGCGGCAGCGGCTCGTGCAGGCGAGGGTGCGGCGCCCAGGGCTCCAGTGGAGGCATCACCTGGAGGACAACAAGGAGAGCACTGGTCAGCACACGGGGTTTCAGAAAGGGCTGCACACAGCTGTACCCTTGGACGCACATTCGCGATGCGCGCTTTGCGGTGTAGCGGTACGGTAGGGGCGTGGCCGAACGGCGGCAAAACTTCACAGTGTATACGCCGGGTGGAGATTTCGGCTTTGGCCTTTCTTCCTTTTTGGCCCCTGGCAGTCCGGCAATCGACTCCCAGCTCAGGTAGAGAGAGAGAGAGAGAGAGAGAGAGAGAGAGAGAGAGAGAGAGAGAGAGACTCTGCTTCACGCCTGCATGGCTTTGGCCAGTGCAATAAACATATACTTAGAGACTATTCTTGGGGTAATTTATGTTGAGGTCTCGGGTATCGCCTGCGCCGGCCGGCGGCCCCTTGGATGTGTGAGCCGAGCGGGTTAGAAAGGCTTAGGGAGCGCGGCCATCACAGCAAACTAGATCCCCGGCCATCATCGCCCTCCTCGGCTGGTCATGCCGCGCCGGGCTCAGCCGGGCTCGTCAACGCCCCGTCAAAACAAACAGCGCCGGCGTATTCAGAGCTTCGGTGTCGTCCGGCCGACCTAACCTCAACCAGGGCGCGGTAGCGCGACGCCGCCGGGGCTGGCCGGGGGGCACTGGGTCAGGGCGGATGGGACGTTCCGCTCCACCAGGGCAGAGATGGCGCCCTACCGGAAGCGGATGTCGCCTGTCGCCACCCGGACGCGACACGGGACCGCAACGGACAGGAGGGGGAGGGCTGAGGAGGGGACGGGGCGGGGTTGTAGGACGCGACGAAGAAAGTGCCAATAATTGCACGAGGGTCAGCGGGGTGTCTGGCAGTGTAGCGGGGGTGAGCCGGGCGGCCGCCGCGGGGCCACCCACGGGGACGGAAACAATAAGCTACAAATTAGGGAAGGAGGGGAGCCTTCCGCTGGCGGGGCGGGGCGGGCGTGCGCCGTGACAATGATAAGGGAATAGAGTGCTCTGCGGCGATCAAACAGACGGGGCGCCGACCAGCAGCAGCGCGCCGCCCTGGGTGTCGCGGGTGTGAATATAAGCGTAAGTGATATTCGCACTCATCATCATTAGCCTGTCTCGAAGCCGACCACCCCTAGAGGTGCGACACGTCACGCAGCCTCCATCCCCTGGACCACACCAGCGTTTACCTGTCTCTCTCTCTCTCTCTCTTTCCCTCTCGGCCCACCTCGCCGCCCTTAATTTTCTCGCCTCCTCTTCACACTCTTGCGGAGGAAGGTTCGGCCCCTCCTCCTTCCCAAAATCGAATTTGGCCGCTCCGGTTTTTTCCCTTGTAATGAAGCATGAAGCCGAAGCATTATACCGCCATTATAGCTCCACACGCTCCTCGCGAGACCCTTGCCCCTGGCGCACACACTCACACACGCGCGCTCCCATATACACACACGCACACATGCGCGCGAAGATGACCATGAGCGGTGTACTTTCTTATGCATACGTTGTTAGGCCCCTGAGCCTTCCCATGTTTATTTTAGAGCAGCCAGCCGACCCTCATGCCAAGATTACTTGTGATCGGAAAATTATTGACGAACGTATACAGACTGGTCGAAAGTTTAGTCCTATAGATATTCGGACTACGAGAGTCGCTAGTTTTCGGTAAAACTGATAACAAGTTCCCATCGCGAGATGCCCCGTACGAGGAACGCGTGGAGGCGGCATGCGCCCTTCGGCCCTTTTATCACTTTTTTTTTTACCGCCCTTTGCCTTTTTTGCCGGCCCCTCCTCTGTAACGTGATGAACTATCCGTCTAATCCGTCTAAAGTGACGGCACGCTTATTAATGTTGGCCTTTTGTGCGTGAGTGCGAGAGAGAGAGCGCGAGTATCTGTCTCTCTCGCTCTCCGAGAGAGCCCTCACCAGGTGTGCTGCGCGAGCAGGACACCGATAGCCCTCGAGACGAGTCTAGCATCCCGCCCGATCCCGATCCCCTCTGCTGTGAGAGCGGCGTTGTTGCCGCGCCGAATCGGCCTCCCGCCTCCTCTCTCCGAGACGAAATTTACATCTTTGATCCTTTTTCTGAGCTTTGGCACAACGGCAGCTCGCCGCGGCGTCCGGAGCCGCTGCCGAGCCAATCTCGGATCTCGGTGCCGCGAGCGCCGCCTGCGCGGGGCCGGCCGGCGCGATCCGCCTCGCCCAGCCAATGGCCGCTCCGCTCCGCTCAGCCACAACGACCGTTGAAATCTGATTGTACGGCCGCTTGTGTGTGCCGCGCCGCGCCCCAGAGAGAGAGAGAGAGAGAGACAGAGACAGAGACAGAGAGAGAGAGAGAGAGAGAGAGAGAGAGAGAGAGAGATTGAAGAAAAAGTGTAGGCGGCGTGCGCTGACTTTTAGCCCATCATTAGGAGACGAGGCACTCAAACGATTAATCACGACCTCAAGTCGGCGCGGCTAAACAAATAGAACACACTTGCTTTCTCGCTTTAAAACTCCACCGCAAGAAGGACTGTAAGAGTTTTTGAGAGGGGAGCAGCAAAGAGAGAGGCGAAGGGAGAGGCGCGGATGCCTGTTCGCGGGGCTCCCATCCATACGAGGTGTTGGCAATTGAATGGGTGAGCGGTATCAATGGCGGGAGGGGTGCGATGCCGGTGCCCATGCTGGTCGTGCTGGTGCCCATGCTGGTGCCCATGCCGGTGCCGGTGCCCCATGCTGGCTGCCTCGCGTGTCGGCGCGCTCGGTCACGCCACGCCGCGCCACGCCCGCGCGCTCTCCACTTTGCGGCAGTTGCTTGTCTACAAGGCGTTGACGGGCCGGGTTGGACCTAGCAGCAGCGCGCACCGCCGCCTTGCTCTCGCCTCGACCGGAAACGACCTCTTTATTCGCGTGCGCCTTGTTAGCAAGGCGGTGCTCCGTGTGAACAGAGAGCCGCCCGAGACGGCCATTCAATCGCCGAACACAACAACTCGAGAGCAGCGCTCCGTCTCTCATCCTCACCTTGGTGGGTGCCGGGGGCGGCAGGGCCGGGGTCATGTGCGGCGGGGGCAGGGCCGCGGGGTGCGGGGCGCCGGGGCCGCCGGGGGCTGGGGCGGCGGGGTCCGCGGGCCCGCCCGTCGGGGTGAAGAGCAGGCGGTGCATGGAGGCCAGCGCCGCCAGCTCGCCCTCCAGCCGGTCCTTGTCCGACTTCATCAGCTTGAAGCGCTTGCGCCGCCTGGAAACAGAAGAAATAAAGGTTGAGCGCGACGACTTTATGTGCTGCTCTCTCTCTCTCTCTCTCGCACTCGTGACTTCCGTCGGCACATGTCGGCAACACGGCAGGGGAGCCGCAGTGTGTTTGCGCAGACTGACCGCAGAGCTAACGCGGACGTTTTCGAAATGTTGGCGCCTCGAGTCTCGAGTCGCGATTAGCTGCTATCCACACAAACCGCAGCCAGCGCCGCCCGCAGCCGCGGTACAGTACACCTCTGACACGCCGGGATGAAACATTAACGGCGGAGGTGCCCGCGCCAGTCGATATACCAGTCGATATATAAATATATTTGGCAGCGCGCCGCGGCCGGTGACGCGAAAGAAGGAGGGGAGGAGAGGCCTGGGAAGTTATGATGAAATGCTTTTAACTGTGCGGTTGGCTGGAGGGGGCGCGTGCGCGCGGCGTGGCGCCCCCTCCGGCCGACCCGAGAACAACAACAAATCGAATATCCGATTGAGAGACAAGCTGTACTACTAATGCCCAGACAAATGAACGCGCCGCCCGGCTTTCACATGCAAATTAATTGCCTGTTATTCGGTTATCGGACATAAATAACGCACGGGGTGGGCGTCGAGGTGGCGGTGCCTCCCGCACCTGCTCGCCGCCGCAGCGCGCCGTGCACCTGTGGGGCCCCGCGGCGACGTTCACACCTCCGGGACGGCTCTGCGCGGCCGGCGGCGGCCAGGGGCGGCGGCAGGGACCAGAGAGACTACCTGGTGGCTTT